TAATGCAAGGAAATAAAAAAAAATATGTCATTCCCTGGTGTTTACTCAAAACACACTTGCTTTGCCTGTATCATATAATTAACAAATATGAGTAAAATTCTAGACTAGGCAAATTAAACTAAAAACAGGTACACATACAAACCTTGATTGCTCCTAATGTTCCTTGGTAAATTCTATCTTCAATATCCAAAAGAAAATCTCTCAGCCTCAGTTCAAGTTGCCTTTCTGCAGACATCTGTGATTGGTCATATGCATTGGAAGACCTTCCCCGACTGTATATAGGTTTGCTATCAGTTTGAGGTTTGTCTGAAATAGTAATCAAATACCTTAATTATGATTTTCTTATTAAAAAATAAAATTACCCCATGTGCCTATTATCTTAAAATAATGGATATAAAGTGTAAATCCTCAAGCATCATAAATAAATAATTACAAATCCTGTATCTTGTAAGGGCCTTGTGTCCAGAAGGTATAAAGAACTCTTATAACTCATTCAAAAGACAAATAACCCAATTAATAAATGGGTAAAGGAACGGAACAGACATTTCTTTAAGGAAGATATACAAAGATATACAACAAGTACATGAAAAGATGCTTAACATTATTAGTCATTAGTCAAATTGGAACCCTCATACATTGTTGGTGGGAAAAGTACAGCCACTTTGGGAAACAACTGAGTAGTTTCTTAAACCATTAAGCAAAGTTACCAGTAATTCTACTCCTAGGTATATACTCAAGACAAATGAAAACCTATGTCAACACAAAATCTTGTATATGAATGTTTACAGTAGCATTATTCATAATAGCCACAAGGTGGAAACAAACCGAATGTCCATCAACTAATGAATGGGTAAATATTGAATAAAATTGTGGTATAGGCCGGGTGCAGTGGCTTGCTCCTGTAATCCCAGCACTTTGGGAGGCTGAGATAGGAGAATCCCTTGAGGTCAGGAGTTCAAGACCAACCCGGGCAACATAGCAAGACCCTGTCTCTACCAAAAAAATATTAAAAAATTAGCTGGGTGTGGTGGCATGTGCCTGTAATCCAGCTGCTTGGGAGGCTGAGGCAGGAGGATCACTTGAGCCCAGGAGTTGGAGGTTACAGTGAGCTATGACTGTGCCACTGTATCGCTTCTCGGCATTGTGGCTAAGATCAAGTGATTGTGCCACTGCACTCCAGCCTGGGTGACAGAGCAAGACCCTGTCTCTGAAACAAACAAATAAATAAATAAAATGTGGTAAATATACACCATGGAATATTATTTGGCCATAAAAAGGAATGAACTATTGATACATACTACACTCTGGATGAAACTTGAAAATATGCTAAGTGAAAGACGTCAATCACAGAAGACCATATATGATTCTACTCACATGAAATATTTATAAGAGGAAAATTTACAGTGGGAAAATAGATTTGTGGTTTCCGAGGCCTAGGAGATAGTGGGGTAGGGAAGGTAAAGGAGTGGTAGCTAAAGTGCAGAAAGTTTCTTTTTTTTTTGAGACAGAGTCTCACTCTGTTGCCCTAGGTAGAGTGCAGTGGCATCACTGTAGTTCACTGTAACCTCAAACTTCTGGGCTCAAACAATCCTCTTGCCTCAGCCTCCCAAGTAGCTGGGACTACAGGCATAAGCCATAACACCCAGCTGATTTTTCTATTTTTAGTCAAGACTGGGTCTCGCTCTTACTGGCTGGCTTCGAACTCCTGACCTCAAGAGATCCTCTCGTCTGGCTTTCCAGAGTGCTAGGATTACAGGTGTGAGCAACTGAGACCAGCCCAAAGTTTCTTTTTGAGGTAATGAAGATGTTCTAAAATTGGTTGTGGGGATGGTTGTATGTATCAGTGAATACAACAGAAAGTATTGAATTGTACACTTTAAATGAGTGAATTGTATGATATTTTAAAGCTGTTTTTTTTTTAAATTAGTGATTTACAGCTTTTAATCCTAAGAACTAAAGTAGTCATGGTAACATGCCCCTAAACTTAAGCTATTCTTTACATAGATAATTTTATTTAGTAATATAAAAACTCCCATCTAAAAATTTCTTACTGCTTCTTATTTGTCATCAATGGATCAGCCATCAAACGGGAAATGCTGCTGCCTGATCTGCCCCTGCCGCCAATTTCCAAAGAAGTGATCATTAATGGGCCTTGCTCCTGGACTCTCAGCCAAAATCCTTAGTGAGTAATCCCACTTGTTGTATTATCTCTAAAACTGATGGCAGCCTTGGAGACTTGGGCATTCAAAGTTTACTGACCAAGGAATGAGAAGATAGGAAGAATATGTATTTCTTCACACTGCAGATGTGTTCCTCATAATACAAACAGAACTCAACGGCATTTAGAGAATATTATTTCTCTAAAGAAATACATTCCCAAACTCTAACTTGCAAATTAAGGGAATGGTCTAAATGAAAGATAAAGTGTTTTAAATATATTTCTAATACCTTGAAAAATACTTAATCCTGAACGACTAGAGATCATGGGAAGAAAAAAAAGAAAGGAAAGTGATTTCATTGGAAATTTACCTGAAAAATGAAATTTCTCTTCGGAGAAACAGGCTAGCTGTGCACATATTCTGCTTTTCTCTTGCAACAAAGTTTCTTTTAAGGCACTTTCTCTATATCCTCTAGAATTAAGAGCTTCAATAAGTTGGTCTAGCTGTTCACAAGAACTGTAAAAGCACCACCGATTTGGCTTATGCACTGGTTTTGGCAGTTGCACAGAATGATCACATGGACCATGGTCAATGTTGGAGGTAGATTCAGACTTCAAAGACTCTCCAGTTTTAGTGGATACCTGAGGATCTTGGGACTGTACATTATTCTGAAATAATGAATGTTTAGGCAACAGCATATCTTCAGTGAGACCAGAATAATCCTCTTCAATAAACAATCCAGGAATAGAAGGGAAAATCCAGTATCGCCTATACATGCGGTCGCGGCCCAAAGGAAAGATATTGGTACATGCTATGGCACTTTGGATTTTTTCTAAGAGCTCTCTCTCTTTTCGTTGGTATTCTTGTTTTAATGCTTCTTCCTCAGCAACAGTAAGAGGCTCACTTGTTACACAGTTGATCTCTTCTTGCCTGGTAAATTCTTTAAATCCATTTTGTCCCCTTTTCCCTATAGTTAAAATAACATTTTTCATCATCATATTTTAAATATCTATTAGAAAAATATGAGATACAAAGCTACTTCAAGTTATTATGTTATGGAATAAATTGTGCTCTCCCCTAAAATCCCAAATTCACATGTTGAAGCCCTAACCCACAATGTGACTATATTTGGAATAGGGCCTTTAAGAAAATAATTAAGGTTAACTGAGGTCCTAAGGGTGGGTTCCTAATCCAATAGGATTGGTGTCCTTATAAGAACAAGAGACATCAGAACTTTTGTTCTCTGCTGTACACAGAGAAAAAGCCATGTGAGGACACAGCAAGATGGCACTGTCTGCAAGCCAAGGAGAGCCTCATCAGACACCAACCCTGCTGGCACCTTGATCTTAGACATCCAGTCTCCAGAACTGTGAGAAAACAAATTTCCGTTGTTTAAGCCACCCCAGTCTGTGGTATTCCATTATGGCAGCACAAGCAGACTAATGCACTATGTTAGTAAGTAAGCATTTAGAAAACAATATAGAAAAAAAAGATTTCATCCAAATTATAGGCACAGAATTAAATTAATGATCTCCTTCGATAGTCATTAAATGAGGAAGGTTAAAGATCCTTAGAAGTAATTTGTATCAAAAGCTTTTTAAAAATGTATTCCCTTTGATCCAGCAATTTATGAAATTATTTTAAGGCAGCAGAGATTTTCATTCTCAGCAATTATGAACATTATTGATTTTTGTATCTGTAGCACACAGGAGGCATCCAGTGCACATTGAGTACATTATAGAATAAAAATTTCTTTTTTGCCTTATATAAAGTAGTAAATGTAGAAACTCAACAAAACTTGAATAACCAAAAGTTGAAGTTATGAGAAACTGACCTGTTAAAGAGATAGGATTCTCTCTTACATAAAGTATAAATGGCATGTAAATAATGACCCAATTGTAAATATACTAACATGAATAACACCATTTTTATAATTCATCACAGCTATAAGGTAGACATTTTAAAAACAAATAAAAATAATTTAATGTATATTTCAGAATAGCTGAATTAATAAAGTGCCTTATCAATTAAAAACAAACAAATAAGCGTGGTCTTAAATACCCCTTCTGCTTCTTTTATGTGATCCGGAGTCATCTTCATCTTCAGTGACCATATCTTGATCTAGTTCCTTTTGCTCTATTTCTTTGCTCTCAGTGCTAGTATCAAAATCTTCCCTTTCTTCCTCCCTTTAGGATAAGAACAAAGATTACATTTACTAATGAATATATAATTCCATTCATGAAATATTTATGGCCTGCCTATGAAATATCAGGCATTACATGCTTAGGAAGTAGTTAATAACATGACACAGTTTATGGTCTTACAGAGAAAACAGATAATTACATAAATCACTATAAAATTAAAATGAGTAGTAAGTACTAAATGATCTCTTTTTTTTGAGACAGAGTCTCACTCTATTGCCTGGGCTAGAGTGCCGTGGCATCATCATAGCTCACTGCAACCTCAAACTCTTGGGCTCAAGTGATCCTCCTGCCTCGGCCACCCGAGTAGCTGGGACTACAGGTGTTCACCACCACACCCAGGTAATTTTTTCCATTTTTAGTAGAGATGGAGTCTCACTCTTGCTCAGGTTGGTTTCAAACTCCTGACCTCAAGCGATCCTCACACCTGGGCCTCCTAGAATGCTAGGATTATAGGCGTGAGCCACCGTGCCAGCCTGAATGATCTTTTAATATGTCATTAAATTCAATTTGCTAGCATTTTGTTGAGAATTTTTGCATCTATTAATAAAACAAGATAAGTTCAAGGTGCTATGAACGCATTTCAGGGAGAGCCAAATCTAGTCTTAGGGATCAAGAACAACGGGTTTGAAGAAGAGACATTTAAACTGTGAGACCAAGGAGATGGGGGAGGAGCAGATAGCAGGAGAGAGAAAATCTGCATGTACTACAGAGGAATAACATATGCAAAGAACAAAACTGAAGAGAAAGGGGAAGAGCTTATAATTTTGAGAAAAGTGCAAGTTACAAAGTAGCAATCCAAGATTGCTACTGGGTAAGAAACGAAGGCAGGTCATGCTAGGCTTTGTGAGGGCATTATCCAAAGAGCAATGGGAAAAAACCTGAAGAGTTTGGAAAAGAGAAATGATATTAGAAATTGCTTTGGCCGCTATATAGAGAGCAAGTACATGAGGGGAGATCAGTAAAGAAGCCACTGTAAATAGTCCCAAGTGGCTGGCTAGGAGGTGATGGGAGTGGTTTAGAATAAGATGGAGATAAGTAGAAAAATAGTGGAGGAGAGAAGTAGACAAATTTCAGAAATAGTTAACTAGGCAGAATAAAGACAATATGGATAAATGTTTAATCCATTATGTTCTCCAAATTAAAACTAAAATTATATGAACCTTAAAGTAAATTCCACCATTTATGTTGTACATCCAAAGTAGGGTTTTGTTCAAGTGTATTCAGGAGCCAGGCATAATGTAAATAAAGGAATGAGGCTGAATGAGTATAAAAAATAAGTTGGCTGGGCACAATGGCTCACGCCTGTAATACCAGCACTCCAGGAGGCTGAAGCGGGAGGATTGCTTGGGCTCAGGAGTTTGAGACCAGCCTGAGTAAGAGCGAGGCCCTGTCTCTGCTAAAAATATTATAGAAAAATTAGCCAGGGGTTGTGGCTCAAGCCTGTAGTCTCAGCTACTTGGGAGGCTGAGGCAGGAGGATCGCTTGAGTCCAGGAGTTGGAGGTTACAGTGAGCTATGATGACACCACTGCACTCTACCCAGGGTGACAGAGTAAGACTCTGTCTCCAAAAAAAAAAAAAAAAAAGGAAGTAGAATCTATACCATACTTAATTTTCTTCTTTAAAAAATTGAAATATAATGTTCATACCATAAAAGTCACCTTTTTAAAGTGTGTAACTTAGTGGTTTTAGTATATTCACAAGGTTGTGCCACCATTACCACTATTTTATTCCAGAACATTTTCATCATACCAAAAGAAAAACCTCATATCCAATAGTAGTCACTTCTCATTTCCTCTTCCCTGCTGCCCCTGGCAACCACTCATCTACTTTCTGTGTCTATAGATTTGCCTATTCATTTTATATGAATGGAATCATACAATATGAAGTCTTTTGTGACTAACTTCTTTAACTTGGCATAATGTTTTCAAAGTTCATCCACACTGTAGTATGTATCAGAATTCCATTCTTTTTTTTTTTTTGAGACAGAGTCTTGCTCTGTTGCCCAGGCTAGAGTGCCGTGGCATCAGCCTAGCTCACAGCAACCTCAAACTCCTGGGCTCAAGCGATCCTCCTGCCTCAGCCTCCCGAGTAGCTGGGACTACAGGCATGCGCCACCATGCCCGGCTAATTTTTTCTATGTATTTTTAGTTGTCCAATTAATTTCTTTCTAATTTTAGTAGAGACGGGGTCTCACTCTTGCTCAGGCTGGCTTTGAACTCCTGAGCTCAAACAATCCGTCCGCCTCGGCCTCCCAGAGAGCCAGGATTACAGGAGTGAGCCACCGCGCCCAGCCTACTTGCTTTTATAGCCAATCCCACAACAAGTATTTTAACTTTTCTTCTTAATTTTTTTTTTTTTAAGAGATAGGCTTTTACCCTGTTGCCTAGGCTAGAGTGTAGTGGTATTGTCACAGCTCACAGCAACCTCAAACTCCCATGTTCAAGCAATCTTTCTGCCTCAGCCTCCTGAGTAGCTAGGACTATCTCCATGTCCCACCATACCTGGCTAATTTTTCTATTTTTTGTAGAGTCAGGGTCTCGCCATGCTGCCAGGCTGGTCTCGAACTCCTGGCCTCAAGCGATCCTCCTGCCTCAGCTTCCCAAAGTGTACAGGTGTGAGCCACTGCACCTGGCCTGAAATGCCATAAAATATTTAGGCAGTCCCTAAATCACTTAGGTGCTGATATCCCCTCTCTATACCATCTATTAAAGCCTTTAATCTCATCCCTGTTCTTCTATAGACTCAGAGGAACTCTGCAAAACACACCGTACACTTGTTAATGGTGGTGGTTGAGGGGAGATAAACTACTAGTCATGCAAGAAATATAATATCACTTAAAAATAGCCTATTGAAAGTTTTCTGGGAAATTATCATTTGTAACAAAATTCTATGAGAAAATGAGCTCTAGATTCCCTAGAATTAGCCTAAAACAAAAATTACTTAAAAACATAATTATTTAAAAACATGCATATACTTGAGGACTCTCTATATGTAAATATCACAGTCCTGCTAACACATTACATACCTATAAAAAACTACTTTTCTAAGAATTTGAAAGCAGTGCAGAGTTTAAGGTATCTGATTTTTATTCTTTATGCATGGTAAAATGAATAAATAAAGCCAGATGAGCAATGTGATTCAAACCATACCCAATAGATATATCTGCTGTTGAACTTCTTTGCTCCTCCTCCTTCAGTTTTTCTTGTTTCTCTTTCATTTTTTGTTCTTGCTCCTTAAGTTTTTCTTCCTTCCTTTTACGAATTCTAAAAGTTAAAATAAAATATTATCATCTATCTGATGCAAAGATACTTTTCACTTTTAGCATCTTGCCTTTAATCATCAAATTATTGGAAAGTGCTCCTAGCATTATTACAAAAGTGTAATGTAGTAATCCATTCATAATCTCTTAGTAATGCCATCAAGCATCAGTGTGAGCCAATGCCACATTATAGCACAATGTGAAATATGATTTTAAATGAGAAGAAATAAACAGCCTTCATTAGCACAACTGACTATATTCATCTCTTACCTAGCAGCTGCTTCTTCTCTCTCTTTTCGATGTTGCTCTGCCTTTAACTCCCGGAACTCCTGCTTTGCCTGTCGTAATATATCAACATAATCTTCAATGTAATCCCTAGTAGAAACTAGGGTTAGTAGCTTCCCACAGAGAGCGTGAAGTATCTTCATTTTTTCTCCTGTCAAAAATTGGTAAATAACTTCTATATTATTAATGCTAAAAAAAGGAATTATACTTGAAATTTTAAAATTTGTGGCTCAATGTGAAAATAAGAATAGGGAGCAGTTTCTCATGGTCAAACACGTCAATGGCATGTCTTCAGAAAAAAGCAACTTTGAATCCAGTTTAACAGCTATGTGACGTATGAGGCTTTTCAAACACTAATGTCTACCCTGTATACTAGGTTAAGTGAACGTGAGAAATTTCTAATCTTATTTTTCAAGTTTTAATTTTTAGGTTCAGTAATGAAGTTCAAAGCAAAACTAAATTATAACCACTTAAATTTAAAAAAAAATGGCAACAGGCAAATTGCTACTCTGAAAAGAATACACAAAAATACCACTGTAAGTTATAAAGACTATACAAATGTCAGGAATTAAGGCATTGTACTTTCATTATATGTTCTCTAAAGTATACTAAAGTAAACTATATTTGTACATTAAAATTTCTTATTTTAAAAAGCAAGTGAAAAATAACTTCATCTTAACCTTATATACTGTTTCTCTACCTCAAACACTTATTCTAACAAATGGCAGAATTTAGCAGCTGTAAATTTAAACTTCTGATACACTAATGAATAAAAAAAAGCTAGTTTTCTAGCTAATTCTCACGTGTCCTTCTAAACTTAGTAGTTGTAGTAGACTAACCACAAATTTCTAAAATATTAAAGAATCTATAAATAAAGAAAATCATAAATAACTAAAGTTAATATGAATAATAACAGTAGTTTCAATTTGACCTATTTGTGTTCTAATAATTTTTTTTAAGACTGCTTTCTGGCTGGGTGTGGTGTCTCACACTTATAATCCCAGCACTTTGGGATGCTGAGGTGGGAGGAGTACATGGGCCCAGCAGTTTGAGACCCGCATGGCCAACATAGTAAGACCTTGTCTCTAAGTAAAAAAAAAAAAAAAAAAAAAAAAAAAAGATTGCTTTCTTTCTCTTTATAAAAACTGATTTATCATCTAAGAAGGCATAAGAAGGTAGGAGGTGGGAAGGTTATACAAATTCCAACTTGCAAAGTTTACCTGGTGTCAAATCATATACTGAAGTGCTTGACAATTTCTTCACTAGACCAGGATTGCTCAAACGAAGCTCCATGCAAGCATCATCTGTAGCATCAAATCCTCCTCGTTTTTGATATCTGTACTTTGCATTTGCTGACGTTACATCTGCACCTGAAGCTAAGATATGCAGTCTGAGGATTTCAGACAAAGTGCAGCTATCAAGATCCAAGCTTTTCAAACTGCAGCCTATAGTTGTTAAAAATGAAATAGTCATTTAGAATATTAATAATAAATACTTGGCAATGTAAAATGTACCTTTATAAAATTAAAAATAGAAAGCCAAACAAACAAAAATAAAACCCACACATACCCTGGTGTAACTGTGGCCATGCAGCTGCCAAAGATGCAACTGCAGACAGTGCAGATTTTGTGGGGTCTGCATCTTCATCCAAAGCCTCTGTTAAATCTTTAAGGAAATAAATACTTTATTCTAGTGCAAATCAAAGCTTGAATATTTGGGAATAATGCCCTTTTCAAATAACGAAAGAAACAGCAAACAACTTAACATTCAAGAACCTCAAAAGAACGAACACTAGGTACAAGCATTATTCACATTCTGCCTAGTCTCCACCTACAAGTATAAATCCTGAAACATGCACTGCACTACACACTGACAATATCCTTATGTAACAGAGAAGACAATTTCCAAATTACCAACAAGATGCCCATACACATTCCAAAATATGGCAAAATGTACTTCAGAATTAAAAACAAATCCCCTCACACTCAATATAACCTTAGAAAAGTCTACCTTGAAAATTGGAATCTATTTAAAGATACCCAATCTTTTGTAATTATTTTAAGATTAAATCATAACAAAGTATGGGTTGTAATCATCACAGAAAATGAGCTAAAAAGAAGTGAAACACTGCACTGCTGCCATTTAACTACTGATTTATCTTCTTCATCAAATTTTCCTATTTTTATTTTGAAAATTCTCCAATCCAAAAAACAATAGGGAGATTTCCCTGTATTTTCAAACAAATTGCTTTAGCTTTGAAAACAGTGTTCAGTTTATAAATAGGACTGAACAGCAAATCTACTGGTACAAATGTATTTAAAGCATTAGTATATACAATTATTTCTAATTTTAATATATAGATAGATTGATAAAAAATTAAAATGTCAACTGTGAAAAACCATAAGCTTACAAAAAACCCTTCTGTTATATCTTAGCACAGTATACACAGCTTCAGACCAAGAGTCAGATAATGTATATGTTCCAGTCTTAGCCCTGCTAGTGCCTAGTTATGTTTCTTTTAGACAAGTCACTTAATCTGGGCTTCACTTTTCTTAAAGGAGTGTGTCTAGATCAACAGTTTTCAAATTCTTCAAACAAAATAGTTTTTGAAAGCCCAACATAAAAGAGATCAAAAAGATATTTTTGTTAAAGTGGGGTAGGGAAACGAAAATTGCCCTTTCATTTTTCCAACTTTCCAGCAGTGGCACCAAGGAAGCTCTACTTTGTATTATAGTTTGAAAATCACTAGGCTAATCTGTCTGTGGTTCCTTAGCCTTCTACTATATGATTTCCCTACTAAAGTTCACAGGCTGACAAAATTAACCTTAGAGAACAGTTCTTTCTTTACTAAAAGAAAAAGGCAACTCTGGAAACATGTCTGATTATAATCATTGACAATTTCAAGGCATTTAAAACATAAACAGGATCACACAGAAGCTACTTGACTAACTTTGTATATATACCAAAGTCATTCCTACCGGGCCTAATCTAGCCCAAATAACAGACATTATATTCTTCTTTGCCAGGGAAATATTAGACTTAAAACTTTCCCAATTTTCATTTTTTGTATATAGCTAAATAAACTTAAAATTAACAGACACTCTAAAATTAACAACAGCCCTTGATACACAGTTGTAAAAGTGTGTTGACTCTCTTCCTTAGCAGCAATCACCACATTCAACCTATACTATCCATACAAAATTATAATTTCCTAGGACAACACCTATAAAGATCTTAGGAAATGAAAAACCAATGAAATGACAGTTTACTTTTAATTGTGTTAAATAAATTAACATTCTTTAACTCAATTATCTACCATGTGGCACTCTTGAGAAATTATAAATATCACTCTAGGATTTGTTTAGTCACTTGGGTACATTGCACCAAGAGAATATAGCTGAACTGTATTTAGTAATGTTATGACTATCTCAAACAGATACATTTATTATCATCATAGTCTAGAATTAGGTGCATATAATTCCAACACTAAATAATGATATTCCAGCAAATATACAAAACTATTCTACATATGGAGGATGCTCTTGTTCCCATACTTCTTTGTTTTCTTTTCACCACTGTACTAATGAGGATGTTCCCATATTTTGAAGGGCTTTTTAGTTCATAACGTTAAGACTAAAAAGAAGGCCGGGCGCGGCGGCTCACACCTGTAATCCTAGCACTCTGGGAGGCTGAGGCGGGTGGATCGCTCAAGGTCAGGAGTTTGAGACCAGCCTGAGCAAGAGCGAGACCCCCGTCTCTACCAAAAAATAGAAAGAAATGACCTGGACAACTAAAATATATATA